TCAGTTTGCTTTCTTATACAACCCAGAACCACTATCCCAGGGATGGCCCCACCCACCATGGCTGGGCCCTCCCTCATTGATCACTAACTGAGAAAATGCCTTACAGCTGGATCTCATGGAGGCACTTCCTCAGCTGAGGCTCCTTCCTCTCTGATGACTCCAGCTTGTGTCAAGTTAATACAAAACCAGCCAGTACAGATGCCAAAAGTCTTATTTATTTTCCTATTAGTAGGGGAGGTGGGCTCCAAACGCCAAGGTCAGAGGATATCCAAGAGTAAGTTCCTCTCCTCCTTCCACCTTTACATGGGTTCCTGGGATTGAACTCAGGTTGCCAGGCTTGCAAGCCAAGCCCCTCCAGTCACTGGGCCATCTTGCTTGCCCTGCTGGACTTTTATTTTGATTTTAGTTACACATGAGACATCCAGGGGCCCAAGTGTGTGTGAGTCAGCGTCTTCAGCAATAGTAGCATCTACGGCCCTATGGCAGCCACAACTCCCATTGCTCTGGGGTCTTCAGTTTCCTGACTGGGTGAGGTTTGCAGCACAACAATACTGATCACCAGGCTTGGCTATTGATAGTTCTAATACATTATAAAAGATGCAGGGGTTGGGGTTTTAGCTCAGTGGTAGAGCGCTTGCCTAGCAAGCGCAAGGCCCTGGATTCGGTCCTCAGCTCCAGGAAAAAAAAAAGATCCAAGGGAAGAAAGAATTTAGGAAAGCAATATTTATATATATATATATATATATATATATATATATATATATATACATGTATATGTATATGTATATGAGTGAATGGATGAATGAATGAATGAATCAATGGATGAATGAGGTAAGACTTAGCATGTGTGGTCCCTGTTCTGACTGTAGCTGGTCTCAGATCTGAGATTTTAGTATCAAAGGCTACTGATGTTGTCAGGAACTATTAAATTTGCCTGCAGGTTCTCTGAGCACAGTGAGCTGCAACCTAACTTGTGTGAACAGACTACAACCCACTCTGGTAACAAGTCACTGAATCTCAGCCAATCAAAAGCAGCCAGCTGTTCAAACCTCCTTCAAATAAGGAACTCTCCAGCAGTAGCTAATCTAGTTGTCTCCGGTACTGGACTCTACTTCCTGCAAGCTGCTTCCTGTTCTCTGGCTATAAATATAACCTTCCGTGCTGAGACGGGTGGGGGTTTGTGTACAGTGCTTGTCTTCCTGTGTAAGGCCCTGGAGGGACAGAGAACCGTTTTTGGTCAGGCAGGTGCTCAATTCTAGAGTTGCAAATAAAGCCAAGGAAGATCTGCAACACTAAGGAATTGGGGGCAGCTCAGCAGGAAAGAAGTGCCTACTTTATACAAGACCTTGTAGGAGATCCTCAGTACCAAAACCAAAAAACAAAAAACAAAGCTTGATCTGTTGAGATGTGATTTGAGAGAATACAGAAGCTCACAGACTAACTCAGGACTAACACCCCAAGCCCTGGAACCAGACCTAGAAATAGTGGCTCTCCAGACCAGCCATGTCTCTGCCTTGCTCCTAGCCAGGGGCTCGTTGCTGAAGTTGCCTATGCTCTGTTCCGACAACCCAGACTTCCTCTCATTTTTCTCTGTGCTCTGTTGTCTTAGTTAGGGTTTCTATTCCTGTGAACAGACACCATGACCACGGCAATTCTTCTAAGGAAAACATTTCATCGAAGTGGTGGCTTACAGTTTCAGAGGTTCAATCCATTATCATCATGGTGGGGAGCATGGTGGTGAGCAGACAGACATGGTACTGGAGGAATAGCTGAGAGTCCTACATCTTACAGGCAACAGGAAGTTGACTGACACAGTGGGCAGTATCCTGAGCATAGGAAACCTCAAAGCCCACCCCCACGGTGACACACTTCCTCCAACAAGACCATACCCACTCCAACAAAGTCCCATCTCCTAATAATGCCACTCCCTATGAGATTATGGGACCAATTACATTCAAACCACCACATCTGTCTTACAGCCTCAGTCTCTCTGGTTTGTTTTCTTCACAATGCAGCTTACAAGACCCCTCGGAGACCTCTCACTCTTGTCCTGCCACCTTGTAACCCTTCAGCTACAGTCCAGTGCTGTTTGATTTTTTCCCCCAGAGTCTCAAATTAAATGTCTGTTTTAAGTTAACAGCAGAGATAAACAGGGTGTCCCAACAAAGCCAGGTTTGTTGACTTGGTGTGAAAGATTCATATCCCAAAGGAACCCTGAGATGTCTCACTCCAGGATTATTAGAGGATGTCAGGAACAGTGGTGTTGAGGTGACATTTAAATGGCCAGGGTCTCACGAGGCTCCCAGCAAAGCAGAGTACAAAGGGGTCTGTGTGTCAGCTCTGGGTTGAGAAGTGAGCCCAGGTCCTCTCACCTAGAACCCTGCAAAGAAGGATGGATCCAGAAGGTGGGCTACACACACCCCACCCCAATCTAAAGCTCTCTGCTTGTGATACAGACAGACTCCTGTGGTCCTGGCTGGTTTTTCTCTTAACTTGATGCAAAGTAGAGTCATGGGGAAGAAGAACCTCAATTAAGAAAACGTTCCATCAGATTGCCTGTAAACAAGTCTGTAGTAATCTCTCTCTCTCTCTCTCTCTCTCTCTCTCTCTCTCTCTCTCTCTCTCTCTCTCTCTCTCTCTCTCTCTCTCAGAGAGAGGGTTTCTCTGTGTAGAAGACCTGTCTATCCGGGAACTCTGTAGACCAGGCTAGCCTCAAATTTGGAAATCTGCCTGCCTCTGCCTCTCAAGTGCTGGGATTAAAGGTGTGTGCCACCACGTCCTGGCCTGTAGTAGTTTCTTGATTAATGATTGATGTAGGTAGGCCAATCCCACAGGGGACAGGTGCCACCTTAGTATAAAATGTCAGCTGAGCAAGCCATGAAGAGCAAGCCAGTGATCATCACTCCTCCCCGGCTCCTGCTTCAATCCGTGCCTCCAGCTTCCTGCCTTGAGCTCCTTCCCTGGATGATAGACTACAACTGTAAAGGGAAATAAACCCTTTCCTCTCCAGGCTGTTTTTGGTCAGTGTTTGATCACAGCAATCATAACCTAAGACACCTGTGTCAGAGTGAAGTCGAGTCTCTGAGCAACAAAGGGAAATTTCATTTGTTGTTGATTTGGTTTTGTTTGTTGAGACAGGGTTTCTCTGTGCAGCCCTGGCTGTCCTGGAACTCACTTTGTAGACCCAGCTGGCCTCCAACTCAGAGATCCCCCTGCCTCTGCCTCCCGAGTGCTGGAATTAAAGGCATGCACCACTATGATCAGGCGAAACGTCATGTTTATTGATAGGATGAATTTCTTCCAGGGCTGGAGCAAGAGCTCAGTGGTTGCAAGCGCTTGCTTCTCTGTTGTAAAAACAGAAGTCTGAGTTCCACACACAGCGGGTGGTTCACAAATACCAGAACTCCAACTGCAAGACATCTACATTCTATTCTGACCTCCATGGGCACTGGCATAAACATGCACATACACTCATAACCACACACACACAAAAAAAAATTAAATAAAAATAATTTATTTATGCCCCTTCTATTTTTCAAGTGACTTCATAGCCCCCAGACTAGCCCCCAGGGATCTCAATGCTGGCCCTAAGAAGAGACTATTTCTAGAATGTTCCACCAGAATAACCCCCCACACACACACACCTCCATCACCATATGCACCACAGCATTCCTTGCTGCCCAACCCCCTGGACATCCATGTCACTAGCTTCAAGTTTTGAATCTAGACATCTGCCCAGCAAAAGCTTCAGAGGGCAGAACAGGCATGGCCCCGAGGGCCCCTAGGAGCACTGGAGTACCCGGAGAGCAATGGGTGTCTCCAAGGCTTTTCCAAGCCTCCTGGGAACAGTTTGTCGTCCCCCGCCCACTTACCATGGGGCCCTGTGGGGGCAGGTGTGGAGAAAGCACTGAGATTGTGCAGGCTTCTGTGACTAGCCCCCAGGCTGTGTCACCCATCTGTGTCACTCTCGGCTCAGTGACAGGGTAGGCAAAGTAGCAGAAGGCAAAGTGGAGTCCAAACTCTCCAAGTACAGCCCATGTATCTCAACTAGCCATGAGCTCCAGGTTACACCAGCTTCCCAGACCGGCCTCCAGAGCTAGCAGCCATACACAGAGGGACCTGGGAGGCTGCAAATGATGGGTCCCTGATATGGCAGATACAATCCCAACTCTCAACAGACCCACAGAAGTGGGGACTTAGGAGCAGTGTGCTCCCCCATATACAGTTATTGAAGCCATCCCATCCCAATAGGTGGCCTTTCAATTATAAATATATTTCGAAAGCTGGGCAGTGGTGACGCACGCCTTTAATCCCAGCACTTGGGAGGCAGAGCCAGGCGGATCTCTGTGAGTCGAGGCTCTCCTGGGCTACAGAGTGTGTTCCAGGACAGGCTCCAAAGCTATACAGAGAAACCTTGTCTCAAAAAAATACACACACACACACACACACACACACACACACACACACACACACACACACATTTCAATAGGGGCTGGAGAGATGGCTCAATGGTTAAGAGCATTGGCTGCTCTTTCAGAGAACCCAGGTTTTCCCAACAGCCACATGGTGGCTCACAATTATCTGCAACTCCAGGGGATCTGATGCTCTCTTCTGGCCTCTGTAGGCATACACATGGTGCACATACACACAGAATATAATGTATTACATACATTATACATTATATATTACATAACTGTATATAATAGAAATATATATATAACTCATACATCAAAAATTAATATTTATTTATTTATTTATTTATTTATTTTCAGAACTAAAAAAAAAGGACACTCTTTTTTTTTTTTTTTTTTTGGTTTTTCGAGTCAGGGTTTCTCTGTGTAGCTTTGCGCCTTTCCTGGAACTCACTTGGTAGTCCAGGCTGGCCTCGAACTCACAGAGATCCGCCTGGCTCTGCCTCCCGAGTGCTGGGATTAAAGGCGTGCGCCACCACCGCCCGGCTAAAAAAAAGGACACTCTTTATTGAGGGCAGCAGGATGCAAACAATATAAAAATCAAAAGCTTCTCTGTCACGGAATTAACTTTTATTTCTCTGCTTGTCGAATTGGAGTTGGATGTTATTTGCACATTTCCTAAGGGTCCTGATCTGCTCTTGAGAAGCAGTGAGGCAGAGTCCTCAAGTGGCCCTGTAGGAGAGCATGCATCAGGGAGGGAGTATCAGGGCTCTGTTTGGCCTACTTCTTTCCCTTCTGCTTCATGTGTACTACAAAATAGTCATTGCATGCAATGATGAGCCCTGCAACTAATGATAAAAAGCTCTGGAAGCCGACTTTGCCATCTCGGCACTGGTCCAGGTCCTTCATTATTTTGTCCACAGCCAGGGGGTCCTTTTGATTTTCCAAGAACCCAGGGAACTCCCTTTCCATGAGCAATCTCAGGTCTTCCTTTGTTAAGTAGTCTTTGTCCCCTGCAAATCTGTGAAATGTAAGCATCATGGTTTCCATGGCATGCTCCATCTGAGACGGCATCTTGAAGAGGTCTGTTGAAACCTGGGCCCCAAGGCACAGAAGTCGTTGGGAAAAGCTTGGACACACCTAATATTTATTTTTTAAAGGGGAAAAATTGAAAGGAAAATCGAATTGACTCAAAAATGGAGCAGTGAATAGGTCCATGGACTATGGTAATCAAAACACCATTGACTACTGCATTGGTTGAGAATGATTTTCAAGTGGTAAACATCAGAAGTGAGAGGGGGCTATCTGACAGAACCCCTGCTGAGGCAAGTGCCCCTCACACACACCGGGAGGCATTCTGACAGGAACAAAATGACCTCAGATACCTGTTAGCCACTCGGTCACTCATTCGGGGGACTAAATAAATCCGTCCCGCGCTGCTGTTGGGTGACTTCACACACACACACACACACCCCTTCTTCAGTGCACTGGCCTGTGAACTAGAATTCCTGTCTGTGTAGGCTGATCTGCTGATAAAAACTTCATGACTGTGGAGATTTGGTATGTTGCTGATCTGATAGCCTAATTATAATTACCTGAGCCCCCTCAACAGTCATTCCTTGTCCACTCCGCATCGGCCCTAACATCCTGGTAAACAAAACCTTTAGAATGTATTAAGTTAACAAAATCACATTTTCCACCAATCCAAGGGCTAAGAATGCCGTCGGCCAGCATCTGAGGCATACACTAGAGATATGTCTGCCTGCTATTCCTGCCAGCTTAATATTTCCAGCAATGTGTTTTTAAAATGTCTTAATTTATAACTTTCTTTGTCCTGTGACTATAAGAACTCCACAAAACTGCTTCCACGTTGGAACATTATACCTGGGGAGACGTAAGGTCTATGTTCTAGGTCATGGTCACTCAAATTTAGTTCCAGAATAAACTGTGTCTTATTCTATCTGAGGTGAGAAATGTGATTTTTGCTTCACAGTCCCTGCAGAGTCATTATTGACATGTATAAGGGGATAGCTGGAAGTCTCTAAACTATCATGTAATCACAAACTTTTAAAATTTTATTTTCTGTTTAATTATGGGCACATGTATGTCTGTGAGTATCGGGGACTATGGGGGTCCAGCCCCTCGATAGTCCCCTCCCAGGGTCCGGGAAGAATCTACAACCAGCTGATAATTAATCTTTGAAGAAATGAAATGAATCTATGTACATGAAACTCCTTAGTCCATATGCTTTATTATTCTGTGTCAGTTACCAGCTAATATTCTGCTCTCACTTTTTGCTCCTTTCTTGCCCAATTTCTCTTTACATTTATCTGTTGTTCCCTGCAGGTTCTATCTTAATTCTTTCATCTAGTTCTGCCCCTTCTAGGTTCTCATCCATCTAGTTATTTCCCAAATCAGCTCCTCTTCCATTTCCTTCTTTCTCATCTTGTTCTTCCCCATCTGGCTCTTCCTCATCTTCGATCTCGTTCCTCTAGTACTCTCTTCTAGCCCTTCAATCTAGTTCTTCCCCATCTCAGTTTGTTCCTCTCAAGTTCTTACCCCTCTAGTTCTTCCATTCTCTTTTCTCTTCTCCATCCTCTAGTGCCCTGGGAGTCTGGGTATTTATACACTTACAAGCAATAATCCCTTAGCAGTGCAAAGCTAGGCTTCCAGGGTCAAACGGAGGGGTGATAAGAATCACATAGAGTGGCAATAACTGTTAATTATCATTTGCAAGCCCAAAGGGAAGTGACCAATGGGGAAATGAATTAACTAAAGGCTAAATTCGGGTAATATCTAAGAAGAGGGATTTTATGTACTCAACTGTAGTTTTAAATGTGATTAGTAGAAAATGTTAAGAATCTTTAAGTTGCTAGGTCAATGGGAGAAAATAAAACTGTCTTCTTTTTTCCTGTGGCTCCTATCTGTCCAAGCTATCTGCCGTTTTTCTGCAGGGTGGGGAAAAGTGTACTCGGTCGCTAAGCAACCTGTGTACAGCTAGATGCCTCTGGTGATAGTTAAAGGAAGATCTGGAACTGGAGGTAAGGTTTGGGAAAGGAGGAAGTTAAGTTTAATTGGCACATCCGTCAGGTCTTCTCAAACAGGTAGCCTGGATGCTTAAGTTTGTACTTAGAGAGTACAGAGGTATCTCTGACAAGGTACTTTCCTCCATCTGGGGATGGACCTGGCTGGATGTTGCCAATGATGATAATTACAGGGAGACTTGAACTGGGGTTCATGCTGAGCATAGCTGTCAGCACAGAAGGTTATCTAAATATTCCTAGAAGTGGTTAGGTAAGGAGTTAGAGGTCTATAAATTTAGTAAGGCTGTAAGAAAGAAGGGTCCAAGCTAAATTGTGTAAAGCTATTACTTAACATCTACCTGACCTAGGCGATGTCTCCTTGTGGAATTTACCTTAAATCAGGAGACTTGCATGTGGACTGTTATCACTGTTAGTCCTTGAAAGTGGCTAAGGAGATATCTGATTCCAGAGAAAGCCTTTCCTGAGGCTCTTCTCCAAATACCTGGGATGTGTATGTCCAGAGAGTGATCAGTCCACACTGTTAGCCCTTCTTAGGGAAAAGTCAATTGGGAAAACTATGAAGGCACACATGGTTTTCATAGCAGAAGACAGCTGATATATAACAAGCCAAATAATAGCAAATGCTTCTTGGAATTTGGCTTCCTCTGGAGGAGTTCCTTGATCCCTCCAGGTAGTGACTTTGCCATAACCAGCTGAGTTCTTATGATATATTCCTGCGGCCCGCAGCATGTGTGTAGGTATATGCATATGAATGTAGGTGCCCTCCTCCTCCACCAGCCCAGAAGCACTGGATCTCCTGGGGCTGGAATCATAGAAGATTGTGAATCGCCCAAGAAGTGCTGGGAACCAAACTTAGGTCCTCTTCAGGATCAGTACACTCTTGACGGCTGAGTTATCTTTTTGGCCACTAATCACAGAAATTTTGATAGTGCAATAAGGAAAAAAATTGAAGACAGGTAGATTATAACTCACAGGACAGGAAGAGAGAAGAAATGACTGGGATGAAGACTGATGGAGACATCAGAGCTGGGCTCCATGCTGGAAGCCAGATCTCAGGAGTGGGTGACGTTTTCATTGCCGATGGGGTGTGAGTCTCTGTGTTTTGTTTGATTAGACGCACATCCTACCAAATGTTTATAAAATCACGTCTGCAGCCACCCTTCTCAAGCTTCTTAAATGGTCCAGCAAACTCTAAATGAGGGAAATGCCCTCTGCATGCAACCAGCCAGTGCAAGCATCCCTTCCCCTGAGCCTCAGGGCTCTGGAGGGTCTGGGAACCAGCTTGCTTCAGCTCAGTTTGTTCTCACAGGGACACTGTGAAGCAGGAAGCAGGTGTTAGAGGAAACCCAAAATACAGAAGCATTCTAGATCTTCAGTTCAAAGGCAGATCTGCCTCACCCAAATCTGGTCTCTTGTGTCTGTTACATCTTTGAGAAGTCTGGACCTATGTTCTTGTGGGTATCTTGTCATTCTTTCTGAGCATTTCTCTCTCTCTCTCTCTCTCTCTCTCTCTCTCTCTCTCTCTCTCTCTCTCATTTTTTTCGAGACGAGGTTTCTCTGGATAGCCTAGCTGTCCTGGAACTTGCTCTGTAGACCAGGCTGGCCTCAAACTCAGAGATCTGCCTGCCTCTGCCTCCAAAGTGCTGGGACCACACCAGCAATCTCTTTTTTTGTTTACCATCATATTCAAGCCTATATTAAAATACCTTTAATAAACCACAACAACAGGGCTGAAGAGATGGCTCAGAGGTTAAGAGCACTGGCTGCTCTTCCAGAAGTCCTGAGTTCAATTCCCAGCAACCACATGGTGGCTCACAACCATCTATAATGAGATCTGGTCCCCTATTCTGGCCTGCAGGCATACATGCAGGCAGAATGTTGTATACATAATAAATAAATAAATCTTAAAAAAAAAAAAACCACAACAACAAAGCCAGGCATGATGGCACATGCCTTTAATCCCAGAACTTGGGAGGCAGAGGCAGCTGGGTCTATATATCAAGTTCCAGGACAGTCAGGACTACATAGAGAGAAAACCCACTACGACAAAAGGCAAGTGGAAGTCTGAGGCATGGGCATCACACTCTCCAAGGATGAAGGTCTATTTCAGGGCCACGGCTGCTCCAGTCCTCCTCCTGTCCTCTGAAACAGATACAAGGTGACCATTGGCACAATCATCCAATGTCAACTGCTTACCAGGGTACTCATCATCACAGCCTCCTGTAACAGTCCCCAATCTTATTTAAATTTTTTATAGTACATGTATAAATACTTTGCATTACAAAAAAGCATTGTGTATGTGCCTGGTGCCTACAGAATCAAGAAGTGGGTGCTGGATCCCCTGGAATTGGAGTTACAGATTACAGCTGACACGTAAATGCTGGGAACTGAACCTGGATCCTCTGCAAGAGTAGCAAGCTTTGTTAACCACTGAGCCATCTCTGCAGCCCAGCAGCTGGCTCTTACCTAGAACTTCTGTGGGTTCAAACTTTGAAACCATTCCCTTGAATACATACTTTGTCAAGAACAGTACTGCTGTCCCCATTTTACAGGCAAGCGTACTGAGACTTGAGGTGGTTGTTACATGTGCCTTTTGGTCTGTTTTAGAAGTCCTCTTCACACTAGGAGACAAGACAGATGTCCATTCCTCTATTAAATGAAGATCTAGCCTTATAATGGGGAAATGAATGCCCAGATCTTCAAACCAAGCAAGGTGCAAACATTGCTATACCACAAAGAATTACAAAAAAGAGGATGTAACCCCCATGGCTGCAAAGGAGCCAGCTAAAATTTTATGGGCTAGAAGACATGTTGGAGTGAGTTAACCTGGGGTACACAAATGGGAGGCCCAAACTGAGAAGGCTGCAGCAGTAGTGCCCATGGCCACTAACTGAGGTCAGGAGAGCTGGACTGTGTGACTCGGGCTCAACCCCATAAAGTCCTACACTCATTTTGGAGTGTCATTCCAATCCTAGAACATGTTCTTAAGTCGCCATGAGGAAGGCTCAGAAAAGTGAATTCATACCAAGTTAATAGTGACTCGGTGTGCCAAAAGGCAGCGTAGCACAGTGGTTGAAGGTACAGACTCAA